TACCATGGAGAAATAGAATCTTTGTAACTTTAATGTTTGCCAGTACATCTGTCGTACCCATTGGCTTATTAATTATAAAAACTTGTTTTTCACAGGGGGCCAGAGGTGATGTTTAATTTTCTCTACACAGGCTGGCTAATATATGACCATAAAAACTTGGCATAGTTTTCTTTCTTTCTTTTTTTAATGGAGTTATATTCTCTGTTTGGTTTTGTTGTGACATTCTGGAGCCTTCTAATTTAATTTGTTTTGCTCCTGTTGTTTGATTAACCAGGTGACACTGCCAAACCTGGCCAGTTATCACCCAGATACAGCCTGAAGGCTAGAAAGGAAGTGAACTTCCTGGGACATACATGTGGCAAATGATCAGAGGGTAAAAAGAGTTTCTAAATTATTAACCAGGTTAATAAAAATAGAACAATGTTTAAAATTTTTTATCTTCTCATTTTTGTTATTTGTACACATGGTAATTATGGGACGATAACTGATGTGCAAAATGTAAATGTGTGTGTATGTATACTAGGTAGTATTTACTTAGAGTTGACTGGAGTGTAAACTACAGAGAGAAAAAAATGATAACATGTTATTTTCAGTATTTATATTGTGTCTTCTCCCCTCCCACTCAATTCCTTCAATTGTCTTCTAGATTAGAAATAAGTATTGTTTCTCTGAGTGTTTTTATTTGTTTGTTTGCTTTTTAGATTTTTCTCTTCCCATCATCTACCTTTCCCCATTGGGTGTTAAAGAAAATAATAAGGCATATGATTTTAATAATCTTCAGCATTCAGATGACAGAGAGTCACTTTGAAGGAGAAGGAAGCCATATCAGGCAGAATTTACACAGCAGTGGATGGGCTTTCAGCAGCGGTTGTTAGTGCTAACACCGTTTTCCCAGTTGCTGGTATTAAGGTAGCAGCAGGCCCATACTAGCAGAGCTGTGATGTCCCAAGCACAGCTGTATTTCTGCCATTCCCGCAGGTTTGTGTGCACCTGGGAGCAGCCACACCCAGTTGGTATCAGTCAACAGTGTATCATGCCATGTGTTTTTTTAATTCATGATTTCCTCTTGAAACTCCACTGAGGAGTGTTAACTGTGTGCGTTTTTTTAAATTCAGTTTTGTATGCTAGCATTCTTTAAATGTCTGCCAGAAGTTTAATTTGAATTTCTGATCCCTGAAGGCAGCTAGACAGAATCATTCTAGTTCTTCATAAATTGCCTTCTATGATTCATTGTTAACTCATAAAACATACTCCTTTCTATATACTCAAATAGTTAAGGTAGTTACAGTATCGGAAATTTTTTTTTTTTTGCCTTATATTTAAATCGTCTTTTGAGAAAGAAATGAAGAATTAGCTTGAACTCCCAGTTAAGGCATGAGCCCTGTAGCACAGAAAACATCAGAAATGAATATTTTTATCTCAAGGAGGTTGAAGTAGATGGCATGGAATCTGAAAAAAAAAAAAAAAAAGTTTCGTTTTTACTGAATACTCCCAAAGAGGGGCCCATAAATATTAGAGTGCTGTAGTTAAAAACTCACATGACTGTTTTAAATACTATTGATTTAAACCACTGGCTAGATTTTATGAATCAAAGTGTAATTTTGAAGCTTTGGCCATATTTCTCAATGCTAAAGCACTCTCTCTTGTGTGCCTTTAGCCGCTTTCCAGACATTCAACACAGGATTAAATGATAGTAGTTACAGTGATCAATAGGTTAAGACTGCTACAATCACTCTTGCCGCTAATGACCTCAGTAGTAATGGGCAATAAAGTGTGGGCTGTAATAGCCTCTCGCTGGTACTGCATGGCCTTTGATTCCTAGTATTAGTAGGGACTAGCTACATGAAAAAGTTGGATGTTGGGAATTAAGGGAGTGGATATATAGGCTATAATTCTTAACTATTTAAAGCCTTAAAAACTGTGCTCAGATTTTTTTTTTTTTTTCTTTTCTACACCACCATAGTTTCTGGTCCATTTGAATATGTTTGTTAAAGCTTTCCATAACCTCTTTTCATGATATGTTGGAACAGAAACTTTGGGGAATTCTCGGTTTTATAACATTGCTAAATGAAGCTGGAGCCCACTTTGGAGGCCCAGAGCTCACTGGTATTAAAACATGGTTTCAGATAGTAAAAGCGAAGTTAAGGCCATCAGGATATAATAGCCCACTTCTGATTATTCAGAGACTGATCAACCCGTTTGGAGGATTACTCAGGCCTCATGCCTCCTCCCCTCCTTTGGTGGTGGTGCCTGCTGTTGTAAAGTATTATTACTCATCAGCACTTGCATCAAAATGTCCGAAAGGAAAAAGAAGGGGACACTCAAATTCATTATCCTGTTCTGCAACACGACTGCAAAAAAAAAAAAAAAAGGACTAAATAATTGTGGGAAAAGGAGATTTAAACCACTGATGGGATGTCAGCCTTTCAAAATTGTCTGTGCATGTATATGTCAGGCCTGTCCGTGATTCCCCCTTTTGTTATTGACAGTCAAGGGACAAAGTCGTTTCTCCTTTAAGGAGATGCTTCTAGTTTTAGCAGAGTTAAGGGACAAAACTATTTTAGGAGACATATGTAACTTCTAAAATCAATTTTATTGAGGGATAATTTACCTGAGCTCAAATATACTCATTTTCTTGCATAGTTGAAAGAGTTTTGACAATTGTATACATGTGTATGAGCAGCACCCCAGTTGAAATATAAGATATTTCCTTTGCCTCCAAAAGTTCACCTGTGCCCCTTTGTGGCATGAGGTTTCCATAGGTCTTTTAAAAATGACCAGGAGGTTATTTCCATGATGATTTCTGTCCTAACTCTGTTAAGTTCATGTTCATCACCAGTTTAAATCTTACACCACCCTATTCCTGTCTGTTTTCCTGTTCATCACCATCAGAAATTTGGCTCAAGAATATTTATATTGTACATCATCCAAGAAACGCAGAGGAAAAAAGAGACCTTAAACATGGTTCTTTTGTTTGCTTAATCATACCTCCCCGTATAATGATGCAACTCTCAAGGAAAAGTAAACTTCTATTGTGATATGCTGGCTTTAGCAGCTCAAAAGGATACAGATTGGCACCCAATACATATTTAAAAATCAAAAAAGTTTTTTCTGTATGAAGACAAAGTAGACTAATTGGAATTAGTTTGTAGATAGTTAGATGTTTTGATAATGTCTTCCTGGTGTTTGCCCTAGACTGAATGCAGGTTCACTGTTCCAATCATTGGTGATATTTCGTGCTACAAAGTATCTTTTTAAAAGGATAATTTATCCATTCATATACATCTGTCCCATTTTGCATATGAAAATATTCAGACATGCCCATCTGTTTTAAATTACAGTGTATCTACATCTACACTTAAAAGGCCACTGGAATAGGAAGAATTCATAGATGACCTTCCAGAGCTGGGTTAATGAAATTTTTCGAATGTTCTAGCTAGTGTTTTCCAAACACACGAAACTTGCACACCAACATCCCCACACATGAAACATGCCCACCACAACAGTGGAGAACATTCACTGTACATGAATCTGACCTTCAGGAACCATTTTTAGTTCATCAAAATTAGTGATGCTGAGAAATCGGGACATCAGTGCATAATGACTGTGAAATTAGGAATGAGAGCTCGCTATGCAAATGACAGGACAAATCATGTGAAAAAGTCAAGATAAACTGCATATTAAGACATTATGTTACATAAAATTAATACTGCATTTCTGCCTTTTGCTTACTGCTCCCCTGAACGATTTTTTGATTCTTTTATCTTCTGATCAGCTATTGTCTGCCGGATTTTTTTTTTTAAGTGGCACACAGGCAAAGTGCAAAACATGTTATTACCTTTTATTGTAATACATGAGATGACAGCAGATCCTTTTTAACAAAGTATATCCTTTACTGCTTCTAGCTTCTTGCTGTCACATGTTTGATTAGAAACCAAAGAAAAGTAAGATGCTTAAATATTACGGTTAAAAGACATACAGGTTTTGTCTTTTCTTTCATTGTTTTTTTCTTTCCTTATCTTTTTACGGAGGGGGGTGATTTTTCATGAAATAGTCTTCTTGCATTACGGGGACTGACAAAATGGTTCTCATGTAGTCTGCAAATTAAACACAAGTGCAGTGATTATTTTGAATAGCTAAATTACATTCTAGAAAGCTTGCAGAATTCATAGCATTGTCATTAGGTATCCGCTTGAATACAATTTGTGTAACCTTGGCCAAGACAGCCTGTCATTTTAATGTCAGTGTTTTATCTGAACAAGACATCATCCTTTCAGATACAGTGTGCAGGTTCCTTGCAGAGATGCCCGTGCAGAAACGTGTTAACAGTTGCAAATATGAAATGCTATCAAGTTCATCACTGTAGCTGTTTGTCACTGAAATGTCATGGAAAGCGGCTTTTAATGGTATTGCACATAATATGAAAGAATTGAGACATCTGTATGCTGGGGGAATAAGGAAGGGTAAAAGGCATCATGCGAAGGGTCTGTGTTTAAGTTCAGAAGGTGTGTCCAAGGTTCCGTTCCCCGCAAGCCTAAGCATTCATGGATTGTTCTTAAAATCACTGTCCACAGAGTGAGTGGGTCACATGAGCTCCAACTGCGAAGGTGTTGGTTCCCATTTATCTTCTTCCCTAAAACAAAATCCAAGTTTGGGTTAAATTGCCACAGATCGTTTTGATCAAAAACTTACTCTTAATAAGCAATTGAGAACTGTCTATCCTAACTCCAGTTAGGGTTTATTAAGATTGTCCTTTCTGTCTACTTCCAAGGCTGCCTGGAACCCCTGTCAGTACAGCAAGATTTTATTTTTCTTTCCTCAAAATAAACTCCATCCTAGATTAACTAGAATCTGTTGCTACATCCCCTCCGGATAAATAACATGTTGCATGGGAAATTGGTCAACTCTTTAAGCAGGCTGATGGCAGTCTGCACCTGAACCTGGGAGGCTGCGTGCTTCTGATTTCCTGGCTTCGTATTTATCCTTCATTAACGTTCTAGGTTCCCGTGTCAGTGGCTATGATGACACCTCAAGTTATCACTCCCCAGCAAATGCAGCAGATCCTCCAGCAACAAGTGCTGAGCCCTCAGCAGCTCCAGGTTCTCCTCCAGCAGCAGCAGGCCCTCATGCTTCAACAGGTAATTGTCCTTCCTCCGCCTCCAGCCTGTCTCCCCCAGAACCTAGGGCCCCCATCGCTCCATTCACAGTCTCCCCTGCACCACAGCAGCTCCTTTGCCCAGTGAAAAGTAAGTAGAGCGGCGTGGGCGGGGCAGGACACAGACCAGTCCCTGAATAATCAATGAGCTTCTGCATGCCTGAAAGAGAGGAGCCCTGCCACAGTGACTAGGCTTTGGGCCTGGAGAGTACCTGATGGACTGAGATCAGCACTGTAATGGACTTGGTAGCAGTAAGATCTTTTAGGCTTAGATGGCTTTACACTCTTTTATTTGGTAAGCCCAGAGGCTCCTTAAATGGTATGAATCAAAGCAAAATGAGGAGCACGTTGGGAGTGGGTTTAAATATGACAGCTCTTGAAGTCCCCATTTCAGCTCAGCAGCTTACTGATTTTTTTTTTCTTTAAACATAAGCATTTTGGAGTTTGCTAATTTTAAGGTCCAGAGTTGATTTTACATCTTCCACGTACGATGTTGCTGTAATGAACTTCTGGTTGTCATTGCACCGTGGGGACCTAATATTCAGACTTCACAGCCACCTGAACCAAATAGATGAGATTCGGAACTACAGTGGTGGGAGTCACTGGCCTGGGATGGTGAGGACAGGATGCAGCGGAAGCTCCCAGGGCTGTCCCGGCATACACTGAATAACACTGCATAGTGCCCAGCTCTGTCATTTAGAAAGCATGCAGAAGAGATTCACCAGACTTTCTCAGCAAGGGCATTTCGTTTTGTTGTACAATCAAAGGTCATTCATTGCCTTATTTTAATTAGTTTGTGTAGAAAATGGTATGTTTTTCATCAGTTCATTTTGGAGATTACTTTTCAAACAATAATGCCAAGAATAGTCAGTGTGCGCTGAATTTATTGTCGAGTTTCAAACTAAAGGTCAGGCCATTACAGATAAAAGGATGCTATTTTTCAAATCACAGTTTGTGTATGGCACCAAAAGGGACAGTGCATTGGCGCTACCCTCTGTTACTTACCGTCCTCTCTTTCCTTTGTAGCAGCAGCTTCAAGAGTTTTATAAAAAACAACAGGAACAGTTGCAGCTTCAACTTTTACAACAACAACATGCTGGAAAACAGCCTAAAGAGGTACCGACAATACATATTTTACTTTCAAACCACAGATCCCAGAGGACTATCTAGTGGCTATTAAACTGTCATTCATCTTTTAAATGATTGCACAACTGAGCTGACTCTATCGGTTCTCAGCTTTCAGACTGAGAGTTATTGTCCTGTTTTCGCTCAGATTTTTCTGGGTTCCATTTGCTTACTGCCACATATTTTATAACACCACTGCACATGTACCTGTGTGAGGATCAGGAGAGGCATCATTGACAGAGCCTTCAGGTTACTTTTTGCAACGTGGTAACAACTGAGGGCCAGGATGGAGCTGTGGGAAGTGAAGTGCTTTCAGAAAAATTTTACTTGGATGCCCACTTAATTTTCTTTTTCCCAGCTCAGAGAGCTTGGGTGTGTGGTGATGGCCTTTTCCATTTGAAGAATAACCCCTTGTGAGTTGGATAAACAAACAAAAAAGTCAGAACAAGATTAAACATCCACATCTTTTGTTTAACTTCTTCCTGAAAGTTGTACATAATGTGATTGCTAAAGGCATGTACCAGATAGCATGAGTTAAAGTTAGAGAAGACTCCAGCTTGGGTTGTGTTTTCCTGATGGGGGAGCAGAAAAAAGTACATAATAGCTTCTACATGCATCATGCTTGGTAGTGTCCATAACTTACCACGTTATGCCACACCACGAAGGTTGACAGTGTTAGTCCCATAAACGGGAAGGCCTTTCCAGGGAGTTCCCAGTTCACCTTCTATTCAATTCTACGTGGGTGAGACTCAGTTGTGGGTGTATCTGTGTGCATGTGTGCGTTATTATGACATCTTTCTACCCATTCCAGAGTTATCCATTTTAACTTGCCTCCTCATATTTCTACAGTGGACTGAAATTTTTTTTGCTTAAGTGTTCTCCTTGGGATGACACAATTTATAATTCTTTATACAGCACGTCGTCCACTTCAACAGCTTCTTCGCCAGCCCTAAGCAGGTGGTCACTTTTGTTCTTTTGCAGGGCGTCCTGCCAGGTGACTCGACATCCCTACCCCTCACCTGAGTGAGGATCCTGGGCTGTGCTAATTTTACACACTGGGAGTGACCCAGACGTTCTCCCTTTGCTGCCTCCTCCCCCGGACACAAACTAGGGACGTTTTCCATGTCCTGCCAAGTTTTCACCCTGGAGTCCTGTGGAGCAGCCCGGATGTAAAGCCCTGCAGAGCAGGGGCAGTTTTGGGGTGAAAGGGGGAGGAGGTGTTTTAATGAAAATGCTGACACAACCTTATGTACAGTGGCGCGCTACCGGGTGCTGCTATAATAAAAAAGGGAACAGATTAAAAAGTGTCTAAAATGTAAATCTAAAGGACTAACAGTAATTAAAATGGAAATGGCACAGGGAGGGAAGGCATGTAATTGTGAGATATCACTGTGCAGAAGGCTCTCAGCTTTGTTTTGCTGGCTGTTTTTCTAATTCAGCAGGGCTTACTCATCAGTGGCAGTTCAATGCGCGTTAATGACTCTGGGATTGCAGGCATCACTCTGGACAAAGAAATGATTATTGTGCGGTCAAAAGAAGTTCAAAGACAAGAAGGGAATTTCAGTTTTTTCCTTAGAGATCCACATTCAAGAGCATATAAATTAAGCCAAATGTTAAAAACCACAGTCTGAAAGCTGACTTCAAAGTCACAACTCTCTAATTAATGAACTGCGAGCTTCAGTTTGGACAAGTTGTGGTTTGATGCGCCCATAAATCAACATGACAGGCCTGTTTCACAGTCTCAGACAGTGCTTGTCATTGAGTCACATCAGATGTAAACACAGCAGAAAAAAGAAGGGGTATGAAGGAGGTGCAATTGATCAACAGAATTGGTAAAAACCCACTTTTGAAGCACATTATGCATGATCACAGGAAATGGTTACAGCCTCAAGAGGTTTCCCCTTCTGCTGTTGCTTTTTTGAATCAGATTGCTAACAGCCTTCAAAAGGGAGAATAAGAATTATGGAGTTTCTCCCCTGTGGCTTGCAGGCAATAACCCCCTGTTGTTATTTTGTGCTTCTTTCTTTTCAAAGGCATCAAAATTTAGTTTTTTAAAGATCTTTAACTCTATATTTGAAGACAAACAAAAAAGGGCTGCCACTGTCATTCTTATCAGTTACCAGGGATTGTGTTTTTCCTTTCTGTTGCCACTTCTTATTAACCTCTTATTTTGTCTGCGAGACATAGTTTGGAATGCACGTCTGCACGCTGGGAGAACATGAAAGTTCACATGAGCGCAGAGGGCAGATAAAGAAATGTGAAGGGGAAAGTTACACAGCAGAAAGAAGGATAAAAGTTACCTCTCCCAAATTGCTGTTGTCAGAAAGGAGAGCATCCCAGAGCACGAAGCTGATAGTGGTGCCTGAGTTTGGGAAGGGAGTGGAGCAGGGGGTCCGGGGAAGGAGAACACTGTGTCTGAACAAGGAGAATGGGAGGCAATGTAGCAACAACCTTGCATCTCCAGGTCTCTAAGTTTGCTCTGGTCCATGCTTTGTCATCTACTTCCCAGGCAGTGGTGACCCGGGATATAGGTTGCTTGGCATATCCTTTGAGGTGGGCAGACCAGTGGATGGGTCTCCTTGGATTCATGGTGCCAGTGGATTTGTCTGAGACCCAGGGTAGCAATGGTTAGCAGATTTGTATTTTCTTGAGGTAGGGGCCAGTCTCCTGCAATTACCATGCAGGTGGTGGTCCTTTTGTGCTAAAATGAGATGGAGTCACACGGTAGCAATTTCATGATGTCGACTGGTGGTTATGATTTTAACAAGGTTTGAACTTGGATGTTGACAGATGGAACAAGTATGTTAATTTACTGAGTCCCCAGTCACTAGTGGCTCATAATTTTGTATTTTCAGGCTCCCCACACCCCCCCTTCTTTTTTTTCCTGTTTTGATTATCTCTTCAGTGAGACACCTGATCTTTGGCGGGAACAATGTACCTTTGCTCTTTTTTTTCCCTCCCCTCCTAAAGTTCCTTGAGATGTTTCCTTGGGAAAGTTTGGCTCCATATTGGGTTGCACCGAGACAGGACCTTCCTTATGAAGGTAGATGCTCTTAGGTAGGAATATGGGGAGGAAGAGGATGTAGCCCCAATACAGGTATTGAAGTGACTGCTCATGATTATTGGGCAGAAGTGGTGTGGAAAATAGCAGAATTCATTTTTAAATGGGCTACAAAAAAAATAAAAAAATAAAAAGATTCCATCCTGTGCGGGTGAGGTAGGCTAAGTTGATTGTTTTAAAAGGGCCATTTGTCCGGGGCAGTTATGACAGTTTATGTTAGGCAGTAGGGAGTAGCCGAAGAAAGGAAAACAGACCTTTGACTGCAGCTCTAGGGAGGGGATCCGAAACTCGAGGTTTATCAGGGCATTTGAGCATTTTAACACTGACTACTGACCTGCCGAGGGGACTGCACGGAGACCTTTTTTGTATGCATTCAATTGTGAGAAGTAAACAAATGGACCCGTATCCTGTGTTTGGTAACTGGGTGGGGAGCGCAGTTTGGCAACCAGTGTTGCTTTTAAATTCTTTCTTTGGACAATGGGCCTTGTATACTTTTATATCCTGGCTTTTCAAACGTAGACAGCTTTCATGAGCTTTTCCTAGGGATGGCCACAGAGACAACAGAAAAGGCATCAGTCATTTTATATAAATACAAAATTTTTAAACATTTCAGTTACAGTAAGGCAGGAAACACCCTCCCCAACCTCCAGCTATACCACCCCCTCCTTTATATTCTGCTTTCAGAAGAGCTAATTCCCTGATCTTGTATTGTGTCAATGTTGTTTTTTTCTCTTCCTTCCCTTTTTTTTTTTTTTTTTTTTTTTTTTTTTTTTTTTTTTTTTTGTAATGTTGTGAGTTAATATCTGTTGAAGAAGTGAAAAAATCATTTTGACATGAATATAACTATCATTGGGTTTTACATTAGTGTGATAACTTGGGAAGGGGCGAAAAACAATTGGATCATTTTATGCATGCTGTTCTTAAAATGAAAACACTGGCTTTTCATTTAAATTTATTTAAATTTTTGTTGTTAGTGGTATAGAATTTGTTTTTTGGAGTGAAACTCAATTAACTTTCTCAGTGGCATGGTAGTAAGTCTGAAATTGGTTGCTAATATGAGAATGATGGTTTTTACTGTAAAATAAACTACATGAAGACCGAAAGGAAACCACCATTTTTCTCTTTCTTTGAACTTTGCATCGGAAGGTCTTGATATACATACCATTTTATGGATGTATCAGATCAAGGTCATGTGTTAGGTTAAGTGAATGCAGTTGTTTGTAAAGTATAGTTATTAGCCAGAACATGCAATCTCTGAAAGGGCTTGGATAGTCCTTTTAGTTGTAAACGTCTCTCTGATCTTTTGAGTCATATTCAGAATTAGGAACACTGATCTTGTTCTTTTCTTGAAGAATCTTTTTTTGTTTGTTTGTTTTTGCTACAGTTTAGGAAGGGTTAATTTTCCTTTTATAATTGTTAGCCATAATGTGGCTAAGACCTCCACCTCGATATGATTCCTAGCAGATTAAGGATATTAGATAATTTCCTTCTATTTATTGTACTACTGCACTGTATTATCTTTCTATCACTCAGATAATTACTGAGGAAATCTACATTAATTTTTTTGGCTGAAGCAAGGCCTGCTAAACACAGGAATGATGTATTGATGTTTTACACAACAAAAGTTTTCCTCCTGTCATTGTGCAATCAACAAAAAGATATTTATCATGTCGTAAAGCCCCTTCTTTTCAAGAACAAAGCAGGTGGGGGAAGCAGGACCAGCAACCAGACCTGGGGGTTTCTGAGACTAAAGCCACGTTAAGGAATCTGAAGCTTAGACTGTCGTTCATATTAAACTCACAGTCGAGTACGATGTTGTTTGCTAAATTATGAATGTGTGTAATTAAAATCTAGTGGCTGTTTCTATGAAAGATTTACAATGTTATTTCATCGTTTGTCATGGCTAATTAACAATATTAGATGAAGTTTTTCTTCTTCAAAGGTCTGATTTTTTCTCATTTATTTATGTCAGAAGTGATAAACAGAGTAGTTAAAAGCTTCTGCCGGTGCAGGCAGGGAGGGAGGCAATTTGTTCTTTTACACCTCAAAGGTTCAGGGTTCAAACCCCTTCAGACCAGAATGATGCAGTCTTCTCTCTAGTGTGCATAATTAAAAATTTCAAAGTCGAAAAGTTCACATCTTGATGACAAAACTTAGGCCTTTCAAACTGTGGGGAGAGCTGGCTTGATTGACGAATTATTTATTTATGGGAGCAGGCAGTAGGAAGGTAACACTCACCCCCTCACCCCTCTTCAGAGGAGGTATGTTCTGTCCCTTTTAAACCTTGACACGGAGCCCTCCACTGAGCTCCAGTGGCCGTTCTCAGCATTTGACTATGATGGTGGGTTTTGAAGTGTCCATACTTTTAACCTTCCTTGGGAAGTGGCCATCTCATTTTTTTCTTCCTGATTTCTTACAGCAACAGCAGGTGGCTACCCAGCAGTTGGCTTTTCAGCAGCAGCTTTTACAGATGCAGCAGTTACAGCAGCAGCACCTCCTGTCTTTGCAGCGCCAAGGCCTTCTGACAATTCAGCCCGGGCAGCCTGCCCTTCCCCTTCAACCTCTTGCTCAAGGTATGCGTTGATTATATAGAAGGCATAGCTCTGTGAAGACTTTGGGTGGAGGTGGTGAGCCGTCTCTTGGTATATTTGTTAAGGACGTTGTCCATCAAAACATGCAGATAGCCTCTTTTAAGAAAAGTGGAGTGGGATCGTGACGGACCCATGTAGAAGGTAAAATGCTTGTTGATGGCAAAATAAAGTCTTAGGGTGGTCTGAAGGCTAGGCTGTCACAGAGCAGTCCCGTTGTTGGACATTCTTGGAGTAACGGAATGAGACACTACTTTGCGCTTATTGAGCATTTTAGTGGACTCTTGCAGTGTTTCTCTTTGGAACCACAAAGGAATTTTCCTGAAGCCTTTTATTATTTATTTAAGGCT